TTTCCGCAACTAAACGCACCCTAATTACCTCATCTTTTCCGAAAGTTAATGTTTTCTCCTCAAGCTGACTCAGATCCTTCACTGCAAAACTATTGATGAGAGTTATGCTTGAAATAGTGGACATAGGCTTCACCACCAAATCATCCATCACCATATAAGTCACCACATCTTTCACAAAACCTCCCTTCGGTTTCCCTTGATCACCTTCCTTTACCACCGGTGTCCTAATGAGGTTCAAGGGACATTCATCAAACGCTTGCAAGTAGGACACAATGTAGTCGGATTCTCAGTTGTACTACGACAATAGGAATTACTACTGTAACCATTACAGGTTCCAAAAGAATTACATGTGTAGACTTTTGTTGTTGATGTAGCGGGTTTATCATTAGCAGAAACATCATCCAACAGCAGAAACATGTTCCCATTGAACGCTGTTTTGGAATTAAAGATATTATCTTTATTGATGCCAGGTTTGAAAGTAAATCTGATTAATGCTTTCGACGCTTTCTTTTAGTTTCCCTAAGCCACCAACCATATGTTTGGTGCCCAGGAGATGGTTGATGGCGCCGAGAGGCAAAGAGAAGAAGTGCAAAAGCAAATCCACAAACTCTTTAGGGGCTCCTGCATATAAGACCTTCTGGGTTCCCTTGTGATTTAAAAGCTTAATAGTCATGTCTTCGAAAGCCATTGATGGAGTTTATGGTAGCTTGATGATCGATGTATGTATATTTATTAGATACTTGAAAAGTAGGGTTTGGTTTGTGGATAAGCATGATGCTAACCTACCTCAATATCATGATTTCACATATCTATATTATCTATATTAACTGAAACTAAAATATAAAATATTTAACATTTACCAATAGAAATATTCTATATTATTTTATATCATACACTATAAAGGATTTGATCAAATTTTTAATGCGTCAAGGATTTGAGTAAATTAACATCGGTCATAACGGTCATACAAAAGGTAATTACTTTGACAAGTCAATTTCACTCTTTTTATTTTAGCTTATAATTTTGATTTGATATAAAATTTAACCGAAATGATAAATATTTTTAAAACTACATTGTTAGTGTTAGGATCGAGACACTTAACACACTACTCTAAACACACACACATCTCACGAAAAACAAGAACACAAGGATGAACACGAGGGATTTAACGTGGTTCGGTCCTTCTGACCTACGTCCACCGGTAACTAGGAATTTATATTTCTTGGTGCTAATCTGCACTCTTTCTGTGTTACTCTAGATACAAGCTTTTACAAATACAGATGAATCTCTTATACAGAGATGGAAATCAGAAGTAGTCAAAAAACACAACTGGATCTTCAGCCAACCTTTGAAAAAACTTCACATTCAACAATTGTGGCTTCACATTCAACAATTGTGGCTTCACAACTTCACATTCAACAATTGTGGCTTCACATTCAACAATTATGGCTTCACATTCAACAATCTCCCACTTGAAGCCACGGAACAATCTTCACCTATGCTTCAACTGTGCATCTGTATTTTAAATAATTTGATCTTAACTCCTTCCTAGTTACCCTGACCTTTTCTTTAATTAACCTGAAGGCCAGTTGAAGCTTTCGTTAGCTCCAACACATCAGTCATGGCTAAGTCTGCTACTGACCTGTTCTCTGTCTCCACCGGATCCCACTGAAATGAACTGCCCATCCTGGAACATCCTGAGAACAAACGACACTCTCCATGTGAAACAAATAATCTGGAGAGACTTTTACAGATGGAATACTGGTTCTCTTAACCCACTGTGTTCTGGGTATTCTAGCTGAAACAAAGCCCATGCTCCCACTGCTATGAATGCCCTTGACTGGTTTTTCTGAATCGTTTCAAACACGTTCAACCTGAATCTGACCTGTGACTCTGGTTTTTCCATCTGCAAAGCAAACCTTCTTCTGTCCACGAGACTCTATGAACCGGATTTTGTTTTTCTTCTGAACTAGGACGGTTACTCCCTCAGATGGTAATCTGACCATATATAATGAACCCCTCTTATGTCCACGAGCTATCACAAGATTTCCTTTGACAACCTTCCACTGCCCATTCCTGAACTTAACCTCGTGTCCCTGTTCATCCAACTGCCCAACAGAAATCAACTGTTTCTTCAGACTTGGAATTACCCGGACATCCTTCAAAGTCCATGGACCAACTGGAGTCTTCAGATCTAAGTCACCTATGCTCGTCACATCAAGAACCTCATTGTTCGCCAGTCTTACCTTACCAAAATCCCCTTCTTTCAGATTCCGCAGTGCTTCACGGATGTGGGTAGCGTGAAATGAAGCACCCGAATCCATAACCCAGGAATCCACATTGCTCTCCACACTACAGATCAAAACATCATCATCTGAATGGTCTACTGCAACGTTAACTTCTTTCTTGTCTTTTGGACATTGATTCCTGAAATGTCCAACCTCTTTACAGTTCCAACAAGTCACATCATTTCGAGTCCTCGACTGACTTCTTCTCATGTTCCCGCTCCCACTACCTCTGTTATTTCTTCTACCTCTGACCGCATTCAATTGTTCACTTGATTATTCCCCATAATTTCTTCGTCTGACGTCTTCTCCTAGAATTAAATCTTGAATTCCCTCAAAAGTGAGCTCTTTCGATCCTGCGGAACTATTAACGGCTGTAACTGTTCCGGACCAACTGTCAGGTAATGATGATAACAGTAGTAAAGCTTGAACTTCGTCCTCAAATTTTATTCCCACTGACCCAAGTCTGGATAAAATCGAGTTCAAATTGTTGATGTGTACTGTAACTGAACTTCCTTCCCTCATCCTCGTGTTGACTAGTTCCCGAATCAGGAAGACTTTATTTGCTGCCGACGGCTTCTCGTACATATTAGACAATGCCTCCATGATTACCTTTGCCGAGGTCTCCTTCAAAATGTTGAAGGCAACATCCTTTGACAACGTCGGTCTAATAAATGCCTTGACCTTCTTATCCAAAGTCTCCCAGTTTGCCTGTGTCATCGCCTCCGGTTTTTCACCTAAAACTGCGTCCAAGTCTTTCTGCACGAGCAAATCTTCAATTTGCATCTTCCACCAACCAAAATCTTTCCCATCAAACTTCTCAATCTGAAGCTTACTGCTTTCTGCCATTTTCTGAAAGAACAATGACCTATCTTGCAATTTTCTGGAAATTTAGGGGCCAAATTGCAAAATTTCAAATCTGCTACAATGTTGCTACAGTGCCTGCTACAGATTCTGCTGACGTCACCGCTGATGTCGTGCTACAATTCCTGCTACAGTGTCGTCTTCTCCGGCGGACTGCTACAGTGTCTGGTGCTACAGTGTCGTCTTCCCCGTCGAACTGCTACAGTGAATCCGGCAGCTACAGTACTTTGACTGGTGATTTTAGGAGCCTTCCGGTGGTCGAAAAAATTCAGAAAAAATATTTTTGGAATCTGCGGAACGAGACCTTTCCAACAGTCTACACCAAATTCGTTTTTGAGAAAAAAAATTTCGACCAAAAAACAGAAAATCACCCTTTGGAGCTCAACCAAGGCTCTGATACCATTTGTTAGGATCGAGACACTTAACACACTACTCTAAACACACACACAGCTCAAGAAAAACAAGAACACAAGGATGAACACGAGGGATTTAACGTGGTTCGGTCCTTCTGACCTACGTCCACCGGTAACTAGGAATTTATATTTCTTGGTGCTAATCTGCACTCTTTCTGTGTTACTCTAGATACAAGCTTTTACAAATACAGATGAATCTCTTATATAAAGATGAAAATCAGAAGTAGTCAAAAAACACAACTGGGTCTTCAGCCAACCTTTGAAAAAACTTCACATTCAACAATTGTGGCTTCACATTCAACAATTGTGGCTTCACAACTTCACATTCAACAATTGTGGCTTCACATTCAACAATTGTGGCTTCACATTCAACAGTTAGCTGGCATACCAACTCGACAATAAATATGACAATTATCATCCACGTCACACCAACTGCTCACACCGACAACTATGTCAGCCGAAACACTTGAATTTGCATACTTGCAAAGCATGTTCAATTCGTTAGTGAAAAACAAACAACACTTAGAAACCAGAGAATTGTAATAAAGACGAAAAAAAATACTAGAGATGGAGACGAATAACATAAAGAAGAACATCATCTTCAATGAAGTTTGTTCCATGTTACATGAATTTTAAATACAAATAATAGAAGTGACTTTTTATCTGCATCGATAACATTGCTCTTGTCCCATATATATAAAGCTATTTGATAATTATGCTACCAAAAACAACTACAAACATGTCGTAGTCAATTTAAATACTCATAAATTTTCATAAATATTGTTTTAAGAAAAATTAACTGAATCTATTAATATTGCAGACATTAGAATCAACTGCTAATGAAAAGGAAAATCGACTTATCGTGGTAATTAGTTTTTCGTTTTGTTCATATTTAGGTAATATTTTTTTGTACACATCTAGGTAACGAACTTGTAAGTAGTGGTCGCATATGACCATTACGACCGGTTGTAATTTGCTACAACCGGTTATAATAGTCATATATGAACACTTCCAGCAAGTTCGTTGCCTAGATGTGTACAAAAAAAAATTATTCAAATATGAACAAACTAAAAAAATAATTACTCTAACAAGTCAATTTCCCTTATAAATTCGAAAACACAAAGCATAAATATACGATGCACAAAACCAAATAATTCTTATTTATAGATGTGAAATAAGTTCAATCTTTAAGAGATATCGATATAAAACTTGATGTACTAATCCACAATGCAAACACCATAAATCTTTTATCAAATAAACCAATATACTAATCCACAATGCAAACACCATAAATCTATTATCAAATAAACCAACATATCAATCCTTATCAAATCAAATAATTCATTATAAGAAGGAAAGGGTAAGAATATAATTAGTTATTTCAATTTTAAAATTCCAAAAGTATCCCGATTCTTCCAAAAAAAAAATTCGTGATATCTCAAACATGCTCCACCGCTCCGCCTCCGCCTACTTCCCTGCTCCGCTTTCTTGATTCGTCTGATCCTTCCACTGCCAATTCGTCCAATGCCATTTTGGCCACAAAACCAAAATGAAAAAAAAAAAAAAAAAAAAAAAAAAAAAAAACAACATTAGTTCTAAGAAATCGTTAAACTAAAATTATAAATACTTAACAAAAACACTACCGAATTCTAATGACTAGGAATTAGGAAGACTTTGCGATGCATTACCAAGAGGCAAGAGCAAAATTCTATAATTTGTAGACTGTATCGAAGGTCAATGAAGAACATTCCTTCCATGAAAAAATAATAAAAAGGCTTTACTCTTTTTTTCGTTGTTTTGATCTTATCTTATCCGGTGGTGATGATGGGTACGAATTAGCTGTTTCTGATAATTCCATTTTTTTATATATATATTTTTATGTTTAATTTTCTTCCGTGATACAATTTGGAAACTGAAAGCAAAATCAAAGTAAAAGATTAGAGTTCCATACAAGTTGATTTGTTTTGTGGAGGTAGTTCATCATTTATACAAGTGATCAATAGCACAAAAGTAAGAGAACTCCGAACCAAACTATTAATCACATCTAAATTAATGCAATATTTCACTACATATATACTTAATTAATTGTATGGAACTTTAATCTTTTATTTTGATTTTACTTTTTTTAACAGTAGATTTTCTTTTACATGTTACACACAATCAAAAACCGGATCACTTATATTTGCGAAATTATATTTTTCAAACAAATACTTTTTCTTTTTTTCTATTGCATGCTAAGACAAAATCAAATACTCACTATGAAATTAAACCAGAAAATATAATTGAACATGAATTATATATAATTCTAAAACCTTATATACGAAGGTCATAAACGAAACCAAATCATCAAAATTCAAAAATATAAATTAGGGCATAAAAAATATAGTAAATTGAGATATAAACACCTTTTATCTTCTGTAACAGACTGGTTAACACCGAATTGGTTGATAAAGATGCCTTCAAGAGCTTCAATGCCTATCAAAGTCGAACAATAAATGCCATCAAAAATCATACAAAAAAAAAAATCACACTAATTCACACACATAATTTGTATTTCATAAAAGAAAGTATTATATACCTCTTCTTCTCCTATATGCAATGTTCTCTCCTCAAGCTGAGTCATATCATTCACTCCACAACTATTGATGAAAGCAATGCTTGAAAAAGTGGACAAAGGCTTAACCACCAAATCATCCATCACCATATAAGTCACAACCTCTTTCACAAAACCTCTCTTCAGTTTCACGTCGGGTTCCTTTAACACGGGTGTCTCGATGAGGGTCAAAGGATAACTCATTCCACGCAGACAACTAGGACACAAAGTAGACGGATTCTCAGTATAATAACCACAGGTGTTAGTCTTACTGGGTTTATACAGAAAACTACATGAGTAGTGTTTTGTTGTTGATGTAGCCGGTTTATCTTTAGCAGAAACATCATCCAATAGAAACATGTTCCCATTGAACGTTGTACTGGAATTGAACATATTATCTTTATTGACGCCAGGTTGAAAGTAGATTTGATTAAAGCTTTCGAGGCTTTCTTTTAGTTTACCTAAGCAACCGGTCATTTGTTTGGAGCCCACAAGCTGGATCAAGGTGCCAACAGGCAAAGAGAACAAGTGAAAAAGGAAGTCCACAAACTCTTTTGTGGCTTCTGCATATAACACCTTCTGGGTTGCCTTGTTGACTAAAAGTTTAAGAGTCATGTTTTCGGATGCCATTGATGGAATTTGTGGTAGCTTGATGATCGATGTATGGATGAGAATTTATAGGAGTGGGTGGGTTTGCAGCTTAATTAAATTCTTGGAAAGTAGGGTTTGTTTTTTGGATATATGATAACTTACCTAAATATTAATCGAAACTAAAGATGTCAAATATTTAATTATATATTATACCATTTAAACATTTGCCAAAAAAAAAATTAAAAGTTTTATATTATTTTATATATTGATATCTTGATATCCTCAAAAACCTGGTAATTCAACAAAATTTCACAAACAAATCTACCTTTTCTTCGTTATTTTGGTTTCTTAATCCAATTTTTGTGTTTCAATAATATGTGAATCCATGACAAACTGTGAATTGAAATCTACAATCCGTGACTCTTGATTATGGACTCCACCACTTTGGTTCGTAACTTCTAGACTATCATGTTTATCTGAGTTATGTCCCTGGATTTGTTGTACATGCTACTACTAGAAAACTGCCCATTTACCTACAGCAGATTCCGTAGGTAATATGTAGGTAAACGGTTTACCTAGATTGCATACGGAAACAAGTCCGTGGGAATATAGCTCGTGGGTAATTGGATTGCCTACGGAATTTCCTACAGACTGCCTATGGAAATTTTCGTAGATAATTTTACCTATGGGTTGCATGTAGCTACATTTACCTACGGATTACCTACATAACATTTTTTACTACAGATTACCTACACAATTATCATCTATAGATTTCCTATAGGATTATTACCTACCGTTTTCCTAGAAATCATTGCCTACAGATTGCATACGGAATATTTTACTACAGATTGCCGACGACTTTTCCAATTTGTTGTGACAGGTTTATCTATCGAAAATCCGTCACTAATATGATTTTAATTTAAAAAAACTGAAATAATTGTAATAAAATCTAAATTTTTTTTTTCTGCCCAAAATGCAAGAAAAACCGAATACATTAGACCTAAAATTATATTCATATTCAACCACAAAAAAAAATATTCATTATAAGAATAATTGTCAAATACATTAAAATAGCCAAATGTGTACATTAAAAATGTTTAACAAAAACATAAAACTAAGAACTATTTGGCGGATTACAAAGTGGGTTGTTGAAATGTCTAAAAATGGCCCCCAATTTTTATTCTACTTGAACGGAGTGTTAGCCGGCGTTGCGATTCAGGTGAGTTTGCTCACTATAATATAGTACATTAGGATATGTTATGTGCTTGTAGTCTTTATGACTTCTGTTGTATGTATTGTATGCTTGTGTGCCCTATTTGCTATTTGTATGTGGGGTGAAATAGACCAGGTACAACCTTGGGCCGACACATGAGTTAAAATAGACTCGGGGGTGAAATAGACCCGGTACAGTCTTGGGCCGACACATGAGTTGAAATAGACTCGGGGTGAAATAGACCTGGCACAGCCAAACGTTTTTCAGGTACTACCGGTTCGGAAGGGAAGGGCCCGGCTTGGTCGCAGCGCATCCACCCATGTTTCCACACTTCATGATTTTGGGAATTGTACTCTAATAACTATTTTTACTCTGATATACTTTTGAATGAATGAAATTGTAACATCCCCCTCTGGCACGTATCCTAATATTGTCCGCTTTGGTACCATTTGTAACATCCCCATCTGGCACGTATCACAATATTGTCCGCTTTGGGCTCCCGACACGAAAACTTCACAGGCGGACAAACATAGAAGGTATCCACACCCTTTTAAGGAATGTTTAGTTCTCATTCCCAGCCGATGTGGGATCAGGTGCAACTAACCTGCCCGCCTTCACCCCCCATAATAGGTTTCGATGCCCTTGTCGAACACATCGACTCGTGCCTTGTCTATGATACCATTTGTAACATGCCCCTTTGGCACGTATCACAATATTGTTCGTTTTGGGCTCCCGACACAAAAACTTCCCAGGGGGTCACCCATCCCTGAATTATTCTCGCCCGAGTACGCTTAACTGCAGAGTTCTTATGGGATATGTTGCACTCACGGCTTTAAAACGCGTTGTAACAGAGAAGGTATCCACACCCCTTTTAAGGAATGCTTAGTTCTCCTAACCAGCTGTTGTGGGATCAGGTGCAGGCATACAATGCAGCTAACCTACCCGCCTTATTGTAACGTCATGATTTTTACCATAAACTTAACAGAATACGTTAGCAGAAGACTTAGTTTTTAATTTATAACATTTTCAAACCACAACTTTACCTCAAAATTCAAACATACTTTTAAACCAGTTAAAATGTAAGCAAAAGTAATTTAAATAAAATAATCAAAAACATGTCCACGAGTGGTATCGATAATATAAATCTACTGCCCATAAGTAACCCCTCTCACCAATGCCAAATTCCTAAGCTGCCTGCACCAATCATAAGGCACAGAAAAGAAAAGATGCAATTGTTAGCCCCTGCTGAGTGAGTTCATAAAGTTGCATATAAAACATACAAACCCCAAATTGTTCAATCATTCATTTTATGATGAAACATAAAAATGATAGACAAATAACAGATAACAAACAACCATATATCGTAATTATTCAATCACATATTCAACCGCATACATGCATATATATTCAACCGCAATTCTACCACATAACTTATATGATCAACCAAATACCATATAAACAACCACATAACATGTAAATAATCACATTTCATATACAGGCAACCTTTACTAATTCAACCTTTTATTAATAACCAACCTCTTGTTACATATTCAACCTTTTAATATACAACCAACCTTTTGTTATATATTCAACCTTTTAATATGCAACCAACCTTTTGTTGTTTATTCAACCTTTTATTGTATCTATCCAATCGATTGATAGAAAAGTGTCCCTTAGTGCTACCTAACCCAAGAGAAACACCTTGTTCACCACTTATGTACACGACCAACTGAATGCTCTAAGTGGATCATGACTTCCACCTGAAACACCAACCCCGTGACTCCACTTTCCCTACTCTGACTTTGAAAAGTATAAGCACCATGCGGTGTCGTTCAAGAATCGGTACAAACGGTGCCAATTCTACTGCATCACCTCCTGAGTCCTACGTGATGTTTGCGTTGCCCGCGAACGAGAAACCAACATCACTCTAGCGCACGAACACCGAAGTGCCCATAAACCATGTGTCACACGGTCATCTAGAAAGATCGGCAACTAACAACCTTTATGGCTATATCTCTTTGCAACCTTATGATGATATGATATTTCTGATGCTACTATATGCTTTGTGCTATTGCCACGTTATGAACTGATTGTTATGTTGCTTACACTTTGATGAAATTGATGTATATGGCATGCTAGCTTAAGTTGCTTGAAAGAACGATATATGATTGTGCCTTGATGTATAGGTACTCTTTCAACCTAGTAGGCATCCTCAATGACCCGAATAAGGTTTTAGGCAAAGATCATGAACTACCCAAACCCACTACGCATACCCCGCAATATCATCTATACATTCATAAAGCATGCGATTCATACCATCTAACTGTGTATTAAAACATGCTTATATTTGCAACCAACACATCAAGGCACAATCATATATCGTTCTTTCAAGCAACTTAAGCTAGCATGCCATATACATCAATTTCATCAAAGTGTAAGCAACATAACAATCAGGTCATAACATGGCAATAACACAAAGGATATAGTAGCATCAAAAATATCATATCATCATAAAGCACAAGTAATGACATGTTCATCCTAAAGTGAATCAAATCACCATCTATGGATTGCGCGTTTCAATCATGCAACCTTAGTGAGTTAATACTATGAACTCACATTTAGCCTTGATGAAATCCTTCTTCTATTACAAGTCTTGAACATACTTGAAGTTCTCAAGGACCCACCTAAACACCACACATAACAAGCAATTAACAAATAAAGTATATGTTTCAAAAATACAACTTAATTCTAACTTTTATATTATTTTTCATAATTCCAAGCCCGACCCATGTTTAGTGTTTTAAGCATAAAACAAAATATACAACTCCAAATGAACGGACACTGGACTTTATGGAAACTAGACTCGATTTACTACACATTCATCAGATTGGAGCATCAGCCAATTCTGCCCATATTAGCAGCTACAGCTCTCACAAGATGGGTCAAAGTAGTTGTGCAGAATTCCAACATTCACCAAAAATCACCATATGCTTTGAGACTTTAGGTAAAGGATTAAAGTCACTCAATTTTACACATAAAAGGCTTGAATGATATTATTAATACATCGATTGGGTAATTTATAAAAATATCAAAGAGATGACACAAAAATGTTGAGAGTAGAATGCCTAAACATATACACGAACGTTTAGACCAAAGTTCCAAATTTTGACCCGTAACAACCACCTATTCAAGGCCATTTTAACACCACAAAGGCCTGGAAAATATACAATATTTTTTTAATATCACAGTAGTTTATTCTTTTAGCTTTTCAAGGAGTACTCACACAAGTACAAACGATTTTTCTATAATTATATATGGATTTTACAAAATGGGATATCAATGCAGCTAATTTCTGACCAGTCAGTGAAATGACGATTTTCACCTTAGTTAGGGAAAACATCAGGTATTAGGAAAAATCAACGACAAACTACACTAGAAATGAAAACTTTGAGAGTTCATGGATCCCTAATCCGACTGCTGAAGAATTTTCTATATTTTGTTCAAACAGGGACAGATTGGTAATTTTTCCTAAATTCTCAGCTTTGACTTATTGGGTTAATTTGGCATCTTTTACCAATAATTCACCACTCAAAGACCCCATATAAATGAGAAATGGTATTCAAACAGTAGTCACAATGCATTTAGTCAAGATGGAAATTTCATCATCAAGCCATGATCCAAAATATGCAACTTTTAAAGAGAAATTCAAAGTGTGATGCTATAAAAAGAAAACATCACTAGGGTTTGGACTTTCTCCATCCTTAAGCCACATATAAAGACATTTAAGGATTGTTTTGAGAGCCTTTTGTATGGCTTAAAACAAAGT